ATACTTTTCTATGTTGTTACCTTTTTTTTTTAATGAATATCTAAGCTAGTTACTGCTGAAATGAATCTCAATTAATTTATTCCATTTTAATTTTTTTATTAATACCATGTATGATGTATCTATACTTACACATTAATGGGAAGATTTATCTTTTTAATTATATTTTTTTTATTCACAAAAATATAAAATTTTGTTTAAATGGATTGAGTCTAATTTTATTTAAACTAATGATTTGTTAGTATATATTTTTAATTAAGTATAAGAACTGATTTTTTTTTAACATATAATGAGTTGTTTGTATACAAAAAAAAAAAATACGAGCTGTGTATAGTGTATTTGGAACGAAGAAAATACATGTACAGAATGAGAGAAATATAAGTATAGCTATTTAACTAGAACATTGTTATAGGAAGAAAAGATATGAAAATTTGGAATTTAAGGAGTTCACTTGGAACATGCCAAGATTTCCTATTCGGTCAGTTACGTGTGTGCTGAAGAGGATCTAATAGAGTTCTTAATTCATTAATTTTTTTTACTCTTTTAATTTTAATGTCATTTAAGTTTTTTATTTTTATTTTAATATAATAATTTAACTTGAGTTCATAACTCACTTTTGTAGATTTTTTTTTAAGTAAGAATGATAAAAATATTTTTTTATTGATAAAAATACATTCTTAAGAATTCTTATATAATTAAAAAAAAAAGGTATACATACCGCATCATTCATGTTAGCATATTCTAATGATAAATTTTATAAGAATCAGTTCTTATATTCTAATGATAAATTTTATAAGAATCGGTTCTTATATTTAAGAGTGTGGTTAAAAACTCTTGTTAAAAATAACTTCAAGTTTTATTTCTTAATTTTAGTTAAATGTTTTTCTAAATTTTTAATCATGAGGGGGGAAAAAGATAGAGTTTTGCTCGATTTATGATTTAGAATTTTCCAAGTTTAAGTAAACATGCAATTAATTTTTAATATTTTCGTCATAATACTATAATTCACTTAAAAAAATTCATATGATTTTCTTAAAATAGTCTTGTAAAGATTTTTATTTTAATTCTTATTATTTTGTTTTAGTCTTGGTAATATAGTATTTTTTTCATTTTTATCTTTATAATATATGAATAATTTGTTTTTAGTTATTAAAAAAATTAAAAGAACTAACTCAAAATGAACAATATATTATAGGATATAAAATGAAAAAAAAAATATTGAATCATGTCTCCTTCAGAATACTCAACATAAACCGAAAATAAGTTTTACAAAGATCATTGAAAAAAGAAGAAGTTATAGCCACTAAAACCAAAGGCATTTACTATGTGATCAGTTTTTAGCAAAAGCCAAAAATGAATATTTTTCATGTTTAATTTATTATTTAAATTAAAATAATATTTCTAGGAAGTATTTTATTTTTATAATTTTTTTTAGTGTGTTTATCACAAAATTATTCTTGTAGAAAGGTGAGAATTTAATTTTATGTATTAAAGAAAAAAGTATTTTATACAAATATCACGTTATCTTTATCAACTAGTTTAGAGCATTTCCAATGCTAGGTTCTTATCCAGTTCTTAAGTTTAAGCTTTCATTACTTATAAAAAATCTGTATTGGAGCATGCTGGCATGGCAGGTCAAATTGTTAAAATTTAAACATTGTTGCTTATATAAGAGACGGTTGCTTAAGAATAAAAAAATAATTTAATATTTCCTTCTTTCATTGATGTCAACAATTATAAAAATTAAATTTTTTAAAATTTGTTAAAAATGAAGTATGAGTTATTAAAAAGTGGATGTGCTTATAAGCAACTTTCATTGGAGTAAAAATTATAAAAATGTAATATAAGTTGCTTATGAGTAACATGGTAGTGTGGGATCTATTTAAAGTGGATGAGAGTTGCTTATAAACAACTCCCATTATAGATGCTCTAATGGACAATTTAAGTTTTTTAAAAAATTTCTACTAAAGTAAACTTAAAACAAAATACAATAAATATATAAATATTTTAAAAAATATGTATAACCAATTAATCAAAAATTTACTCATTCTTAAGAATCGATTAAGATTATATATGGTTCACAAAGTTTGATTCTCGAGCATAATTTTTTTTCCCACCAAGTGAACCCTATATTATAGTGATTAAAAAAACATATTTAAATTAGCTAGCCATCATAATTACTTGATAGCTCTCAAGATTGATTCCATGTTGAAATTCAGTATGCAAAGGTGTTGATCGGTATGGATTTTGTTTGGCTTTGGTTCATTGTGTAACATGTTGTCTACACATCAAGGTTGTCCAAGATTTTTTTCAAGAAAATTTTGTCCCCTTTTTTTTTTTTAACGGCTAAGAAAATTTTCATTAAAAAGGTACCAGTGGTACCTATTTATTTAAAATAAAAACATTTGATTTTTTTAATCTTAAAAATATGGAGTTTTAGACTTTTTATCAAATTAACATTTATTAATTATTAAATTTTAATATTTATTCATATTTAAATGATGTGACATTCAATAATATGACATTTAAAGATGAAAAAAATTTAAAAAAATATGTAAATAAGATTTTTTAATAAAAACATTAATTACTAGTTAAAATATATACAAATAAATTTTTTTTTGTTATTTTTTAATTTTTATCTTTATATGTGATTTCATTAAATATCAAGTTGCTTAAGTGGTAAAAGATCACTAAATAATATTAAATTTTAATAATTAATAAATATCAAATTGACGATAAGATTAAAATTTTATATTTTTAAAATAAAAAATTAAATATTTTTATTTTAAAATAAAAAGATTCAAATTAATTATTAATTAACAAAAATAAGAGAATAAAAATACAATTTAACCTAGATATCTCACACTTATAACATGATTTATCAAAAAAAAATTATTCATTATGTAAATTTATTC